CCAGAGGAGATAAATGAAGAAGAGTATGATGACCCGGATCTTGTTCGAGCATTAAAGGCGTCTTTGGCAGAGGCACAAGCGAGAAAGGGCAGAGCCCCTATCCCCAGAGCTGGAGAAGGCTCTTCCTCTAAAATGGCGAAGATTCCAGAGGAAACGTCCACGGGTACGTTTGACGCTCTGGTAGGAACTGTCAAGCCAATCCTACCGCAGGGGTCCACCCAGAGGTCGATACTAGAAGAAGAAACCAGAATGCCAGAATTTGCCACAGTGGGGAGGGTTTCTGAGATCCTTGAATCTATGATTAAGATTCCTTCACAGAAAGTGCGTACAGAGCCCGTAATCACTGTTGAGGAGATTCTGTGTTACTCAGCTGTGGACACAGAGCCCCCTTATGACCCAGAGCTTACAGGTATGCCCTCTGCCATTGCAAAGTTCCACTTCTCAAAGCTCACAAGGCCACCAGAGCAGGTCTTCTCAGAGCATGTAATTACTTCACTCGAAATAATTTCTCCAAGGACTATGCTCAAGAAGACCGTGCTATATGCTCAATATATGGTAAAAAGGGATGACGACAACCTATATACTTTCACAGATGCTGACCTCCACAACCTYTGTGTATTTGACCKAATATTCCTTCACAAGATATTGAACAAATACATGGAGAGGAGGTCAACATATTYGATTTCTCTCAGAAGGCTGATTGAGGTAATGCACGCTCAAGTCATGTTCTACAGCCAGAAAGATTTCGACATTGCGATGAGGTTGGCCCAGCCAGAGCTAAAAATTTCCCCTCCAAACAACAGACCAAGTTGGGTGCTTAGATTTCATCCCAACACCATTGTCCATAATCCCATCTTTGGGTTTGTATTCCCGGACAAGGATGAGATTCTAAGGTTCTTCGATCCCAAAGAGACATACAAATATTCGACAGAGTCTCTTGAGTGGGTGTTCAACCTAGTGGTGATAGAGGTGCAGAGAGGGCATTTAAAGGCAGATGAAGTGAACCACCTTCTGGAAACGATCAAAGTTCAAGTCTCCTTCAGAGAATGGATATTCAAAGTCTACAAAACTATCAAGTTAGATCTGCAATTTGCCATAGATGACTATCCAGACTCTGCTGTGGACTAATTTCTAGTAATAGTGTAGGCCTGAGCAACAAAATTTTCAATTCGTTCATTTATGTAATTCTTTTCAGAGGATGAGTTTAATCTCCTCTTGTAATTCTTTCAATTAGTCATTTCTTGCAACCATTTGTCTAAATTTACTTTTCCATACTTAGGGGGAGATTGTTAGCTCAATTATTCATCTTCTTGTAAAAGTATGAAAAAGTATTCTGCAAGTGTTGACAGAAGGGTATCTTCCACAGAAGACAACAGAGGACTGTCGACAAAAGCCTAATATTCGAGCAAGTAAAGTGTGACAGAACCTCTGATGTCTCTCACAGAGGTTCTGGAAAATGGTCCTCTGTTAATAAGAACAAGCAAGTCAATTACAGTAGAGCCTCTGAGATGGCTCACAGAGGGTCTGCGGTTTCGTCTTCTGTGAAGATCCTGTTCTACTGTTTTTCAAAGGTTGTTAGCTGCATGTGCTTCTCACGTGACTAGGACTTAATCGACTTTATTTGGATGGCTTAGATGATTTCACACGTCAAAATCTTGTCAGTAAGGTCGTTAGGAACTAGTATATATAGCGGCTAAGGCTTTTGTATTCAGTGTGCTTCCGTATTGTAATCGTCTTATTTTCAATTGAATGAATTGAAAAACCTTTGAAGCTCTTCTCCTGTGTTCATCTTCTTCATCTTCTTAACTGTGTGTTCTTGGTTTAATTACTTTGTTTTGTTCTTAATACTGTTTCCGCTGCACTTTAATCGTCTTAGAGTTCATTCAGAGTAATAGATCAATATCAAAGCTGAATTTACAGGTTCAACACACTCTGACTGGATATTGTTAAGAAACTTAACATTAATCTCTATTGTAGTTTTAGAAATTCCATTCTTTGTCAGTTCATTAAGCAGTCTGGCAAGTCTATTGTAAACATCATCAAGACTTTCACCTTCTTTAGCCTTGAATTCTTCATAGGCTGAAATACAGTTAGTGATTTTCAGATGAGTTCCCACTTTCGAACACATCATCATCTTTTCGATTTGAATCCACATGCTGTGACCTGATGATTTATGACTGTCAATACTGGTGTRAATATCATTAGTCAGTGCTTGCATCATATAAGACTTGCACAACACATCAGCATGAGCTCTCTCTTTTTCTTTAGGTGAATATTGATGCTTTAGTTTAGGAACTCTCTGTGTAGGTATGACTTCTACTAAATCAGCACCTATCTCTAGGAAGAATTCAGCTGGACCTTCCATTAAAGATTTCATTATCAGATCTCCTTCTTTCATTCTTTCAACAAAATTCAGAAATCTGTCTCTCCACTGATTGTAATCACCACGAAATAGAACAGGTGGCTTGGTATCAGTACCAATAGCCATTGCTTCTCGTGAACTCATCGTATCAATTTTTATGAAATAGGATCAACTGCAGTTCAAAGTTTGAATTAAAGGATCAGTTTACAAAAATATATCTGATAATATCTAAACAAAACTTCACACACATTCAACACTTAGAACAATTTAGGCACAAAAACTTATCCGGATTAGTAATCCGGTCAAGCTTATCCGGATTGAAAGTCCGGACAACAAAGAATATTCAACAAGTTATCTGGATTAGAAGTCCGGACAACAAGCAAACTTATATCGCTCAAAACACTTAACCAGATTTTAACCAAACATGCAAAATTCAGACGGATTAAGCAAAACAAAATACGGATAAGGCACAAAGCTCAATTTGAATTAAAAGTCTCAAATCGGATGTTTTCAACACTTAGTCAAAATTCCAAAATGAAAATCGGACGTAAAAAGTCAACAAGTCTACAAGTCAACAAGTCAAGGTCAACTAAGTCAACAAGTCAAGGTCAACTAAGTCAACAAGTCAAGGTCAACTAAGTCAACAAGTCAAAGTACATATAAGTACTTTTAAAACAAATCGATGAAAAGTCAAAAAATTAAATCGGTCAAATAGTCAATATCCGTTCAATCACCAAAGAATGTACGATCAAAATTATAAATCGCTCAATTAGACAAATGCACTAAGTCTTACCAAGCGGATTCTTTAAATCGCTTATTAAATCGCAGAACTCTTAAACGACTTACCAGTCGGATTATGTAAATCGCTCACTAATCCGTTCAAGTTACTAAAGACTTACCAGCCGGATTGTTTAAATCGCACAATAATCCGTTCAAGTTATCAACGGTTTACCAGACGGATTGGCTAAATCRCTCAATGATCCGCACAAGTTATCAACGGTTTACCAGACGGATTGGATAAATCGCTCAATGATCCGCACAAGTGTTGTCCGGATAAACCTATATCAAACAACTCGAAATTCACACGAATGTTAAATCGCACAAGTATTAAGCGGATAACACCCTAAATCGCACAAGTCTTAAGCGGACTAATATTCAACCAAAAACACAAAATTTCACACTTTTTACTAAAATTTTGGATCAAAATATGAAAAAATATGAGTTTTGAAGAATATTTTCCAGAATACGAAAACTCAATTTTCGASTAAAACTGGTTTAAAACTTGCTTAAAATAAAAAATAGTGTGAATCAAGATTGTTCGAAATACAAAAACGAATCTAGCGATGTAAATCTTTATAAATAATACTAAAAAAATAACCGATTTAGGCTCAAAAACCCAATCTGGACGAAGAACACTCAAGAACAGTGATGAACATCATTGACCCAGATCGATGAATCTTCAAAAATTCGTGAAAAATTGTGCAAAATTTGTTTAATCCTATAATCGAAACTGCTGCAGCTTGCTTTGATACCAATTGTGGAGTCCAAAAATCATACAAACATGATAAGATCTTCAAGAATCAAGATGAATAGAAAAGTAGAGAGAATATCATCAAAGATTGATTTGAAGAGAGAGAAAATTACAGCTCTAATCTTGATTACAATACTGCTAATCACTTGGTAATGACAATTACAAGGAAAATACTATTTATACTAGGAAATAATAAAGCTACTCTATTACAATATAAAACTACACTAAGGAGAAACTTGAATACAACTTTAACGCTCTTACTCAACCCAACATATTAACTTCAAAAGAGATATTGTGCTCTTCGTTGGTAACAAAGATGCACATATGTTAATAAACAAAATGAGCAAAAGGCATGAACACTGCCCGAATTTTTTTTTGAATACAAGTGTGATGAGAAGGAGTTGATTGCAATATTTTGGGCCGATGAAATGGCGAGAATGACTTACAAACATTTTGGAGACACCATATATTTTGACACTACTTTTCAGACAAACAAGTAAACATTTTTTAACTATTTGTTGTCAAGTGTTTTACAGATTTCCATTCAAAGATTAATATGTTTCTTTTTCTTCATAATAGACATGCAATGATTTTTGTTCCATTTATCGCAATGTATAATCACAAAAAATCAGTTGTGGTTGGTGCTTCCTTGATTAGGAGTGAATCTGTCGTTAATTTCACATAGGTATTAAAGGCGTATATGAAAGCACATTGGCATCCACAGTTTGTAATAACCGATCAATGTGCATCAACGAAACAAGCAATTCCGATAGCTTTTCTAGATGCTACCCATCGATTGTGTATGTGGCACATAACAAAAGAAGTAAAGGACAAGGTATGCTCTATTTGATCTTTTTACCTAAATTCTAATATATGCACACACATGTTTGTTTAAGATACGTTTCATCTGGATTTTTTTTCCCAATTATAGTATATGTATACAAGGGTTTCTTTATTGTTTGATTGTATGCTTGTTTCACCATGTAGATTAGTGACTATTTAGCCCATAGCATCTCGTTCAAAAGAGAATTCAACAAGCTCGTATGGAATGTCCACATAGGTCCGAAAATTTTTGAAGAAAAATGGAATGCCATGATGGATGAGTATGGCTTACGGGGTCACTCATGGTTTGAAGAAATGTATACAATAAGAGAATCTTAGACTCCGGCCTATTTCAATATTTCAAGGACCATCCTATGTCTAGTCTGATGAAAACCACTTCCAGGTCTGAGAGTATTAACGCATTTTTTTAATGTTTATACGAAGTATTGGAATGATCTTTTTTATTTTCTTTACACTTTCAATGATGCAATTGAAAGTCAAAGGAAAGAACACTGTTCCCTAGAGGTTGCTACTAGAACTACGATATCTAGATTGTTATCACCGTCTAAAATTGAAATGCAAGCGGCGAATGTGTACACGAAAATGATTTTTTTGATGCACAAAAAGAAATGAACAAGGCAGTATGGTTCTGTGGGGTTGTCGACATCCTAGAGGTCGGTGATAAGAAGATTTACAATATTACGCATAAGAACAGGAATTCTGAGGTGAAAGCTGCGTACAAGGTCATGATCATTTTTTTCAATTTTATTTTAACATTAATTGATTAGAATCGGAGTTCATAATATTTGTTACTAACTTTTTTTCCGTTATTTTCATGATACGCTAGGTAGTTCATGATATTAAGGAAGAGTCTTTTGATTGTAGTTGCAACCATTTTGTTCGCAATGGTATATTATATCGCCACGCGTTTAAGGTAATGTTAAATTCTGAGGTGCAATCTATTCCTGAGAAATATATTTTGCCTCGCTGGAGAAGAGAGTTAGTTCCGTTGAGTTGTTGCCGGCTCGTGCCAGGTATGGTGAAATGGATGTTGAGAATCAAGTTATGATCAACCAGGCTGTATCAATGTTTGATCTTATTATTGGGCGTGTACGCAATGATAAGAATTCGTTGGCAAAGTTTGTGGACCAATTGGAACAGTGGAGTGATGAAATTTTAATCGATGTTCCTATATTGACAGGTACTGAACAGAAGAGAAATGATATTCAGGAGCTCTTGTGTGTTTCCGAACCTGAATCAGTTGATTTCTTACCCCTAACCGGGATATGTAATAAAGGTTGTGAAACCACGAAACGTCTTGTTGGTATGTCAGAGAGGGCATCCGTTAATGCAAAGAAACCCAAAAGATTGTGCAGAACTTGTGAGAAAATGGGTTGGCATGATTCTCGCAATTGTCCGTCAAAAAGCGACGGTACGAAATAACGTTTTAGTTATTCGAATTATTTTGGTTTTTTGTTAGTGAACGTTCGTATTTCATTTCATTGTTTATCTTATCAACTTTTATTGATGAAATTGTTTCAAAACTTTAATTTTTTTGGATGATCTTGTTTCCTTAATGGTTATGAAATTGTATGGTATGGTAGATATAGTAATTTAATGAAACTTGTTCAGGTTTCAAAACTTTTATGGATGACATTGCTTCATAATTTAATTTTTTTGTTTCCTTGTTTCCTTGTTTCCTTGTTTCCTTGAAGTTTTGAAACATGAACAATATGAAATAGTTTCACCATAATTGATTCATGGAAGCACGATAAACAAACATAAACAACGAAAACATGAATAAATGTATGTTCTCATAAGATTGAAACAAATTCATGAACTGAAAACATGACATTACAGATGTTTCCTTTAGCAATAGGTTCATAATGCCATGTGATTTTCATACTGCGTTTCATTCATGAGTACCATGGATTAAGGCAGACAAGTGAAGCTTGTTTCAGTAATGAAAATTAATGTCGGTTGTAACTGAGCGTTTAGATGATACTGTTAGTCAAGAACTGTTGCATCCAACTTTATGATTACCACAAATACATAGTACAAATTACCTAATCTGTAAGTTTTTAAGATGCATGACGGTAACTGAGAGTTTAGAACCTCATGGTGCTCAATTATAAAATAGGTTAATGAGGTTTAAGATGCATGACATTACAGATGTTTCCTCTAGCAATGGGTTCATGTGTTTACTGTATGCAACAATTTCATGCAGTTCAAGATGCATGATAGTAAGTGTTGGTTCATATAATGGTTCATATGTTAATGCTGTGAAACAGGTTCATATAATGGTTCATATGTTAATGCTGTTAAACATGTTTATACAAAGCAAACAGTGAAACCATTTCATAACAATGAACAGATGTATGTTCTCATAAGATTGAAATAGATTCATGTACTGAAAACATGACATTAGAAATGTTTCCTCTAGCAATAGGTTCAAGTGTGTAGTGATGAAATTGTTTTATAATTTAATTTTTTTTGGATGATCTTGTTTCCTTGAAGTTTTGAAACCTGAACAATATGAAATAGTTTCACCATAACTGATAGAGTGGAAGCACGATAAATATAAATAGACAACGAAGGTTGATTGTCAAGCAGAATTGATTACGAATTACCTAGCTTAACAAGGTATAAGGTACGTGTAAGAACACACATCAATTTAATCAAACCAAAATGAACAAAATGTAAGTGACTCCTAAGTATAGGAGAAAAATCAGATCCTAACCTCCCAATAACCCAAAAAATGTCCTTACTAGACCAAAACTAAATCCATGGCTTGCTCCAATTAAACGAGAACGCCTATCCCAGATCTCTTTGTTGATTGTGTCTGTTCTATTGCTTTCTTTTTAACTTCGGGATCCATTGCATTGAACTTATCAACCTCCTTCTAGACTTCCTCCTTTTTTTGCTGAAGTTGCTAAGTACTAACTTTGCCGTGTATTTCTTCCTTAGATCTGTTAGTTGGTTCCTTTGATTCGGCCTCTCAGTAGTGAAACCGGTCTTCCATGACTTTTCATCTCCCATCCAAGTTTCCATATGCCTCATCAAGAACACACCGCCATCATCGAAGTCTTCTTTAGTTTGCCAACTCATTTGCAAGCGCTCATGCCTTGTTTCATCGATTTCTTGCCAGATTGGATGTCGTACAACTTTTAGGTGCTTAATCATAAGGCGATGCTGAAAAAACAAATATTCAGTTATAAAATATAATGCAGAAAGAAATGTGTAGTCTTAGAGTGAATATTCAGTGAGCATACTTACCAATATGTCAACAACGTGCTCATACAAACCCATGTCGTCTTCAATCGCACATCCTTTCCAAAATCAGTTGTCTATTACAACAATTGAGGGGTTATTGAAGTTAACACCACCAAGTAGTTGTGACCACAGTCCATAATAGGGAAGAAATCCAGTGTTGGTTTAAAGGTTACGTAATCTCATGAAAAAGAAAAAGGTTTATTTAGTTTTAAATGAAAAAATATAAATTCTGACCATACCAGATCTGTATTTCGCATTTTCAGAATTTTCATGTCAAAAAGAGCTGATTTAGCCAAGTTATTGTTGAACATGTCATAATGAACATTGAAATTGGCCTGCTGAGTCCTTAGCTTCAGATCTCCCTGTGTTTTAGTTACGTAATCAGAGATTCTTCATAAATGAATGGTTTGTTTCATTGCACATATTACATATTTAATATAGATCTTACCAAGGAGAAGGTCCCGTTGAGTTTTTAATAATTAGAAGACTTTTTTTATAAGTTCATTGAAGAAATTTTATTTACTCAACAAATTTTCCTCTCTTCTTTTGTTTGTCCACCATTTTTTATATTATATTTATAGTATACGTAAGTATTATAAGAGAATATAATTATTATAATAAATAAAATAGTTAATAATTCTAAAAAACGTTCTGATACGTCTGTAAAAAATCGAAACTAACACTAGGAATCTTTGACGAACAGTATCACGAATCATTACTATTTCGACACAAGAAAAGGATTTGTCACACCCTTTTCGTGTGTCGAAGACTAGGAAAACGAATAACCCCTCCCAGAAATATTTGTTCCCTTCATTTATCCGTTCTATTTCGCGTTTACTTTTGGATAGGATCTAGCCGAAGTGAATTGTATTAGAATCAAATGCAGTTTATGRCATTTCAATCTGACAATAGCAACATAATAACATCACCCCAATTTTGATAAAAAAAAAAAAACAAAGAGAGAAGGGGTCAAGTCAAATAGTCTTCTTCACAATCTACATACTATGGCTAGGAATGTGGTACAAGGAATTCCCGACATCTCGTAGAAAAAGAGTATAAACAAACAAAAGGCTTTTTATAGTTTCATTTTTTATCATAGATATTTTATTTTTTTATCATAGATGTAGATAATGATAATTACTAAAATGAATTTGGTTTTTTTTACAAACTTGATGTCGATAAATCCACGAGCCTAGAAATTCATTTCGGCAACAATCCAATTAGTTCTCCGGGCGAAAAAACATTAGACATTTCGTCTTCTGAAACTGACACTTTTGATGTTATTTGACGTACAATAATTTCTATATGCCTATTATGTATCTGCACCCCCTGGGATTGATAAACCTTTTGGACCTTATTAACCAAAGAGATACGACTTTGCACTATAGTTAGCTCAGCACCAATCAAGAATGCCCAAGGAATTCCAAGAATTCTTGTTATACATTTGTTCCAACCCTCAATCCTCTTTTCGAGATTCATCGATATTGAATCAATCGAACACACTTCTAACACCATGGTTCGATCCTCTTATTTTTTTTCTYGAACCGAGAGATCCATGAATCGGGATCCTGATGCATATAGATACAAATTGTCCACTGGGAGCAAGAATTTCCAGGAACATTTGGAACATTTCGTTTTTTGTGGTGACATAAATCCCTCCCTACAACTCATGAATTAATAATTCTCACAACAACAAGGTCCACTCGACATGAATTAGGTATTAATGAAACTTTTTACAGGAACCTTTCACAAAATTCCCAAGTAATAGTAAAATTATCAACTAATCAGAATGCTTGATTATTAGACCCATTGTTGGACCTTTTGAATTAGAGTCAAGAAGATCTTATGAAAATGGATTGTATTGAAAAATTACCGACGAAGTGAATCACGACTTCTATACATTTCCTTGTAGTTTAGCAATTCAGCCCATCCATCAATAACATTAGTGTACACCATGGACTTGGATGCTAGGCTTGCCAAATTTCCCCACAAGATATTCGTGCCATTCTCCAACTCGAATATAATGTCACTGTAGTATGTCAAGGAAACATACACATATTAGTCTCAACATTTGCTGTTGGTACAGTTTTAAAAATTCCTTTTCATAACAATTTCATACAGTGAAAATTAGATAAAAATATTCTTACAAGGTTGATCCAATTTCTATCAGCGCCCACTCGTGTATACGTTTATCTTCCGCACTTACCTTCATGTCTATAGCCCGCCTTATGAATGGTGATCTTAAGTGATCTCCCAAACAAACACTCCTCCATGTCGCTTTAACATACGTTGACTTCAGGTGATCTGTAGTATCTTTTTCATTATGCCATTCTGTGAACATGTTGCATTTCTTTAATGTTGCATCATCTTCAATGCAAATACCTTTTCCTTTATCCTTTCTACTTGGCTTTATAACAGGCGACGATTCTATGGTCTTCGTCGGGCTGATTCCCAAGTCGAAATGTGGAGGCCGTATATCTAATACTTCCTTACTGTGTTGTTTGCTCAAAATTGATTTCTCGACTGTTTCATCACAAATCTTATGCAAGGTTTGACTTGACCAATATTGTGACAATGGTGTGAGAATCAAGTCATTTTCAATACTGGTTTCATCCCTAACTCGTTGGCCAACATATATTTCACTTGATATAAGTTCTGATACCTTTTCTCTTGATGTACCAATAGCTATAGAAGCTACATTATCGGATATTGCTTCTTCCCTATCACATTGGGTAGCAAACACCACACTTGATTTAATGTCTGCTAACTTCTCTTTTGACAAAGCACTATCTGCACAAGGGACATTATCACGACTTCCTTCATGCTTCTTATAGATCTTGAAAATGTCATTAAGCTCACCAGCAAGACTTATGAAAGCTTCATCACTATGATACTTTGAAAGGCATGCATTCAATCGCTCTTCAATTTCACACTTTTTAGAAAGTATATGATCTATCATGTCTTTAATCAATTTGATTTCCCCTGTAAATCATAGCAAGACAAAGAATTGTAAAACTCCGCTGATAAAATGAGTTTGGTTACAAATAACTAACCGCCTAATCGGGCTTCAATAATAAATACATGAAATAGTTTACTGTATGCAACAGTTTCATGTAGTTCAAGATGCATGATAGTAACTGCTGGTTCATATAATGGTTCATATGTTAATGCTCTGAAACAACTTCATATAATGGTTCTTATAATGGTTAAATGTTAATGCTGTGAAATAGGTTTATACAAATCAAACAGTGAACAAATGTATGTTCTCATAAGATTGAAACAAATTCATGTACTGAAAACAAATTCATCTATTGAAACAGATTCATATAATGCATAATAAGTTTGTTGACTAATTGAAAAAGTTTCATATAATGCTTCATATGTCCATGTTTCATATATACTACCTTCTGTTCAGTTACTATTTAATACCATTTCAATTTTCTTTGTTTGCTCATCATCAAACGTTTCGTGTAGTGCATCAAAAGTATATAAGTACCTCTCTTTCCACCTCTCTTGTCTCTTCCAACAGTTCAGCCGATCCTAATCCTCCATTGGCAATCTCCCAAGCCTTCCATTTTCATAACATCTTAAAGCTCCATCCGCTTGTAGCTGGCCTTATGTGGTCAACTACTTCGTCTGGCCATATAGTTGACTCCACGTATAGTAACTGAGTAAAAAAATAAGACCAACTGCTATTTAGAGTTTAATTCAAAAAGATTATACAAAATAAAAAAGTATATGCACTTACGGTCAAATAAGTTAGTGGCCCGACGTAGAAACACAAATCACTGGTTCTGCTCCAGTTGTCCTTACTCATTTTCAACATATCAAATATGTATTTGCACTAGTCAATCTCTGGTATCATTTTCTCATCCTTAATAGAAGACAAAAGACCAAGATTGCAACAGCCTATCCAATTGCAATCTACCATCTGGTTCACAAACAGAACCAAGAAATTGATTTTGAATGCACCAGATGCATCTCTACTACCTTGGATAAGTTTCATCACAACCTTTGTTAGCTCTATTATTCACTTCTTGTAAAAGTATGAAAAAGTATTCGCCAAGTGTTGACAGAAGGGTATCTTCCATAAAAGACAACAGAGGACTAGCAATAGAAGCTGTTTCA